GTGTTGTAAAGAAATAATCTTCTTACAGAGTCCCTGGTGAAATACTACCCACAAGCATCAGTGAATTTCTATCCATTAGGCATATTGCTGTTCCCATGGAAACGTTACCCACTCCAGCCATCGCTGATACTGTTATTTAGCGTTATTTATTTTTGCAGTTCTTTGGTTTTATTGTTTGAATCACACACATCTGTAGAAGTGATTAAAAATAACAAATAAATACAGAAAAAGGTTTTTATTTTTTCATTTGTTTTATCCTCTATCAGAATAATCTTTTGTATTAAAGTGTCAGATTCAATTTAGACTCAAACTGTTTTGCCAGAACAGCTTTGTGGTGTTTTGGAGCCATCCCTTACTGTTTTTATTTTATTCTTGGACTGATAAATCTTCCATTTATTCCGTCTATCCAGTCGTAGCTGGCTGGCTGAGCTTAAAGCCTGCCAGGGTTATTAAAAATGTATTTCGGAAAATTTACCCTTTTTTTTGTTTTGTTTTTCCTTACCCCATTTTCCCTCAGGGTTCGCTGACAGACTACCTGAAGGCCAACGTGGTGTCGTGGAACGAGCTCTGCCACATCACTCAGACAGCAGCCCGCGGCCTGGCCTACCTCCATGAAGACATCCCGGGACACAAGGACGGACACAAGCCCTCCATCGCTCACAGGTGCTCTGTCTGAATATCTTTTGACATGCTTTGGTTCTGTTTGCAGGAGTTCTGCATTCTTATTTTCCTTGTTTCTTTTTGTCTCTTAGGGACATTAAGAGTAAGAATGTGCTGTTGAAGAGTAACCTGACAGCCTGCATAGCTGACTTTGGCCTTGCCCTGCAGTTTGAAACGGGAAAATCAGCGGGAGACACACATGGACAGGTACAGTTTACAGTTACAGGTTCAAATAATCACTTCTCGTTCACTTCATTATGTTTCCTGCTGATTTCAGTTGGGAGCTGCTCAAACATTGGAAATTGGTTGTAATGGCACTTTTAATGTCCTGTTTTGAGTCTGTGTACTGTTGGGAATGTTACTGGGTCACTATTATCAGTAGTGATTTGTGAAAATACCTGACAGCGCCTACAGGTGGCAGTGTGGGCCAACAATGTAGTAATGGGGACGTACTGGGAGGTCCAGAAAATACTGCTCAACAGTTTAAATATCTGTAGTGATCACAGATTAGATCAGTTCTTCAGATCTTCTCCCCTCAGTTAAATCTCATCTGTTTTGTGTCAGTTTGAGTCAAAAAAGAGTCAAACTCACACAAGCTTGCATTTATTTTAATATTTTTATTGTTTAAAAAACAAAAGCATTCTGAATTCATGTCACATGAACTGATTCACTGTTTTGGTTTGACGTATCTGCCAACTAAGCAACCAACACCCCTCGATGGCAAGCGTTACTTTTCCCCTTCTCAGCCATCTGTGAGCTGCGTCATGACTTCTGCTTCCTTGCTTGTGCTTGAATTTCTGTTCTTGTTTCTGCTTTTGACCTCTCGAGCTGTTCCCCTTTGAACCTATAGGTGGGAACGAGGCGCTACATGGCTCCTGAAGTCCTGGAGGGCGCCATCAACTTTCAGCGAGACTCCTTCCTCCGTATCGACATGTACGCCTTCGGCCTCGTCCTCTGGGAGCTCGCGGCGCGGTGCACGGCCGCTGACGGTGAGTCTGATGCATTGTTTAAAAAAAAAACCCTGCAATCAATTTGTTGTTGTTTTGTTTGTTCTAATTTCGGACGTGGTTGTGTGTTAACAGGTCCAGTGGATGAGTACATGCTTCCGTTTGAGGAAGAGGTGGGTCAGCATCCGTCTCTGGAGGACATGCAGGAGGTTGTCGTTCATAAGAAACTGAGGCCCTGCCTGCGAGACTGCTGGCAGAAACACGCGGTGAGCAGTCAGACGTCGCTGTTAGTTGAGCTGTTATGAAACTGGGTGATCATATAGTAAAAAAAAACAGTAAATATAGTAAAAAAAAAATTTAAATACAGTAAAAAAAAAACAGTAAATATAGT